ATAAGTGATGCAGAGCTGGTAAAAGAGCTCTGCATTCCTCAACACATGGCATCTCTGATCTAAGATGGCAGCCCCACTTCTCCTGACCTTCTACACAACAGGAAAGGACAAAAGGCCAGGGGAATACCTGACCTAGAAGTGGTACACATCATTTCCACCCACACACTGTTATGCAAAGGAGTATGGGAAGTCATATGTCTGGATAAAACTAAGGTTCTATTACTAAATGAAGAATGGATAACTGGGAATAATTAGCATTCTCAGACACAGAGAATCCACTTCTGCTTTTACTATAGCAACAAACAGTATACTCTATACTTAAGCTTATCTCATTCACATGAGCTGAAATTCTGTCAAAATAAAAAATTAAGAGTAAAGTAAATAAGTAATGACAGCATAAGATTACATCCCAATGAATAAAACAGAAATCCACGAGTCCACACTCAAATAAATAAATAAGTGGAGGAATAAATAAAAAGAAGAAAAAGCTCTTCCCTATAGCAGAATACCAACTAAGATATTATAAAATCATTATAAAATTGCCACTTGGCAATCATCATAATAACTTCCCCTCTCAAGAAACATCAATAAATGTTAAAACAAGTGGATGAAAATTGGATGATAATCTCAAAGTAACTCCCCCCAAAGGCTTATTACTTACAAGGTAAAGAGTAACTTTACAATGGGGAGAAACTCCACCAACATGACCTTATTCAAGTGATCAGAGAGCATCACAGAACAACTCACAGCCTCTGACACCTGAGAGGGACACCGTGAGAAGAGTACTACAATACTTCTGGAATATTACTGTCAAAATTGTGTAACCTGAATTGAATGATGAGGAAATGTCAGAGAAACCCAAATTGAAAGACAGTCTCCAAAATAACTGGCTGGTAACCTTCAAAATCATCAACCCCACAGAAGTCAAGAGAGGCCTGAGGAACTGCTCCAGACAAAAGAAACTCAAAGGATGAGGCAGCTCAATGCTGTGCTTGGATCCTTTTGCTACAAAGGACATTATTAGGACTATTGATAAAACTTGACTGGGGTCTCGTCAGAAGGGTGGATGGTAGTTCTTCACATCTTTTTTTTTTAAGAGAGGGAGAGAGAGGTGGGGGGAGGAGGAGAGGGAAAGAACGAATCTTATTTTTTTTTTTTTTAAGATTTTATTTATTTGACAGAGAGAGACACAGCGAGAGAGGGAACACAAGCAGGGGGAGTGGGAGAGGGAGAAGCAGGCTTCCCGCAGAGCAGGGAGCCCGATGTGGGGCTCGATCCCAGGACCCCGGGATCATGACCTGAGCTGAAGGCAGACGCTTAACAACTGAGCCACCCGGGTGCCCTGGAAAGAGCGAATCTTAAGCAGGCTCCACACCCCGTGCGGAGCTTGACATGGGGCTTGATCCCACGACCCTGAGATCATGACCTGAGCTGAAATCAAGAATCAGATGTTTAACCAACTAAGACCCGCAGGCACCTTTCTTCACATCATTCTTACAACTAAATTGTTCCAAAGCAAAAAATAAATTTTTAAAAATACCATTGTCATTGACTTCATGAAATCCTACATCTTTTGCAACATTTTAAATTTTTCTTGGCCATCAGACTGCATCACAGTTAGGTTATTAGACAATCTGTGAAAGAGACTATAGTCTGCATCACAGTTAGGTTATTAGACAATCTGTGAAAGACACTAAATGCTAGTCAATGGACGAGAATAAACATAAAGTTTCCCTAAATTCTGTGAGCCATTTTAGCAAATTACCGGACTCCAGGTGGGGGTCAGTAGAACCCCTGATTTATAGCCAATCAGTCAGAACCAGACCTAAGGTTGGCATCTAAAGTAGAGGGCAGTCTTGCAGGGGTGGTTCAATATTCACATATCAATCAAAATAATATACATTAATAAAAGAAAGGATAAGATCCCCTCAATAGATGCAGAAGAAGCATTTGACAAAATGCAGCATCCATTTTGATAAAAACCTTCAACAAAGTAGGCATAGATGGAACATACCCCAACATTATAAAGGCCATATATGAAAGACCCACACCCATAAGATCATCCTCAATGGGGAAAAACTGAAAGCCTTTCCCTATGTTCAGGAACAAGACAGGGAGGTCCACTCTCACCATTACTATTGGTACTGGAAGTCTTAGCCTCAGCAATTAGACAACAAAAAGAAATAAAAGGCATCCAAATTGGCAAGAAAGAAGTCAAACTTTCACTATTTGCAGACGACATGATACTTTATATAGAAAACGCTAAAGACTCCACCAAAAAATTGCTAGAACTAATACATGAATTCAGCAAAGTTGCAGGACATAAAGTCAATGTACAGAAATCTGTTGCATTTCTATACACCAATAATGAAGCAACCAAAAAATAAATCAAGGAATCTATCGCATTTACAACTGCACCAAAAACCCTAAGATACCTAGGAATAAATTTAACCGAAGAGGTAAAAGATCTGTACTCTGAAAACTAAAGAACACTTATGAAAGAAATTGAAGAGGACACAAAGAAATGGAAAAACGTTCTGTGCTCATGGATTGGAAGAACAAACATTGTTAAAATGTCTATACTACCCAAAGCAATCTACATACTTAATGCAATCCCTATCAAAATAACAACAGCATTTTTCACAGAACCAAACAAACAATCCTAAAATTTGTATGGAACCACAAAAGACCCCAAATAGCCAAAGCAATCCTGAAAAAGAAAAGCAAAGCTGGAGGCATCACGATTCTGGACTTCAAGCTATATTACAAAGCTGTAGTGATCAAGACAGTATGGTACTGGCACAGAAACAGACACAGAGATCACTGGAACATAGTAGAGAGCCCAGAAACGGACCCACAACTATATGGTCAACTCATCTTTGATAAAGCAGGAAAGAATATCCAATGGAAAAAAAGTCTCTTCAACAAATGATGTTGGGAAAACTGGACAGTAACATACAGAAGAATGAAACTGGACTACTTTCTTACACCATACACAAAAATATATTCAAAATGGATGAAAGACCTAAATGTGAGACGTGAAACCATAAAAATCCTAGAAGAGAGCTCAAGCAGTAATTTCTCTGACATCAGCCATAACAACATCTTTCTAGATATGTCTCCTGAGGCAAGGGAAACAAAAGCAAAAAGCAAAAAAAGGGAACTACTGGGAGTTCATCAAGATAAAAACCTTCTGCACATCAAAGGAAACCATCAACAAAACTAAGAGACAACCAACAGAATGGGAGAAGATATTTGTAAATAACATATCTGATAAAGGGTTAGTATCTAAAATCTATAAAGAACTTATCAAACTCCACACTGAAAAAACAAATAATCTAATTAAGAAATGGGCAGAAGACATGAACAGATATTTTTCCAAAGAAGACAGCCAGATGGCTAACAGACACATGAAAAGATGCTCAACATCACAGATATCAGGGAAGTACAAATCAAAACCACGATGAGATATCACCTCACACCTGTCAGAATGGCTAAAATTAACAACACAGGAAACAACAGTTGTTGGCAAAGATGTGGAGAAAGGGGAACCCTCTCTGCACTGTTGGTGGGAAAGCAAACTGGTTCAGCCACTCTGGAAAACTGTATGGAGATGGCTCAAAAGTTAAAAATAGAACTACCCTATGATTCAGCAATTGCACTAGTAGGTATTTACCCAAAGGATACAAAAATACAGATTGGACAATGGAACATTACTCGCCATCAAAAAGAATGAAATCTTGCCATTTGCAACAACGTGGATGGAAGTAGAGGGTATTATGCTAAGTGAAATAAATCAGTCAGAGAAAGACAAATACCATATGATTTCACTCCCATGTAGAATTTAAGAAACAAAACAGATGAACAAATGGGAGGGGGGTAAAAAAGAGAGAGAGAGAGAGGAAAACAAACCCTAAGAGACTCTTAATAGAGAACAAACTGAGGGTTGATGGGGGGAGGTGGGTGGGGGTTGGGCTAGATGGGTGAAGGGTATTAAGGAGAGCCCTTGTTGTGTTGAGCAATGGGTGTTGTATGTAAGTGACAAATCACTGAATCCTACTCCTGAAACCAATATTGCACTGTATGTTAACGAACTAGAATTTAAATAAAAATTTGAAAAAAATAAATAACATTTCTGAAATTGACATTTGTTAAAATTTATGGCATCTTAAAAAATAAAATAAAATAAAAATAAAGTAGAGGGCAGTCTTGTCGGTCTGAGCCCTTAACCTATGGTGTCTGCACTAAGTCCAGATAGTGTCAGAATTGATGTCCACAAGGAAGTGGAGAAATGCTTGGTATGGAAGACCCACACATCTGGTGTCAGAAGTGTTGTGAACAGAGGAACAGTTTTGCTTCAGAAAGGTTAAATATTGTGGTCACAGAGCTACTAAGGGACACAGCTGGGCTTTGGAGCCAAACAAATTCTAGAACCCACACTCTAGAAAATAACAAAATGAACAAAAGGAAAGCCATCTCATTATTTTATATTCACAACACATATATATGCTTACTTTTTAAAGATTTTATTTATTTATTTGAGAGAAAGAGAGAGTGCACACAAGTGGGAGGAGGGACAAGCAGATTCCCCACTCAGCGGGGAGCCCACCCTGGGCTCAATGAATTGAGCCAAAGCCAGATGTTTAACCAACTGAGCCATCCAGGCACCCCTATGCTTATTAACAGCAATAAAGAGTTAATCATAAGTTTTTGTTGTTGTTGTTGTTTTAAAGATTTTATTTATTTGACAGAGAGAGAGCATGTGCACAAGCAGGGGAGCAGCAGAGGGAGAGGGAGAAGCAGGCTTCCCGCTGAGCAGGGAGCCCAATGCGGGGCTCGATCCCAGGACCCTGGCATCATGACCTGAGCCGAAGGCAGACGCTTAACGACTGAGCCCCCCAGGTGCCCCAATCATTAGTTTTTGATGTAGTGTTCAGTGATTCATTTGTTGCATAAAGAAGAGTTGGAAGAAGAACAAAAACTGTCACATTAATTCTCACCTGTGTCTGCCTCATTGCGCGCTCCACTCGGCGTGCGCTTCCTCTGTCAAGTTTGGTCCGGAGGATCAAGGCTGATGTCTGAATGGCCCAAAACTTTGGTTGTGAAAGCAAAAACTGATGGAAGAGAATTAAAAAACAAACACAAAAAGAAGGCATGAGCTTGGTGATTCCACTCTGATTAGTACAAAATTAACTCTTCCAAAAATATCAGAATACAGCTGAATGCAGATCTGAAAATCTTCTCGGTGAAAAATAATAAAACATGTGCTGTCCAATATTTTTGTGAAGAATTTGTTCACTTGAGCAGTCATTACTTAACCTACTGGATCCAATCTATTGAATAAATCCCTTAAGGAATAAATCAAAATCTTTCCAGGTAATCAAAACAATAGGCAGACTGTATCACATTAGAAATTAATAAATCTTTTTATCTCATAGGTTATAAAAAATGTGAGAAAATAAACTACCTCAAAATATCTTTCCCAAATTTGAAATAAATCTTTAAACATTAGCCAAACTCAAACATAAAAACAAATCATTAGAAATCTGGTAACTTTTTACTTAAAATACATCCTAATTCATAGATACAAATGCAAATCAAACTTCAAGTACACGGAATGCCCAAGAATTAAGTATTTGCTCACTTAAAGGCAACAGAATGGGAGAAGGTATTTGCAAATGACATGTCAGATAAAGGGCTAGTATCCAAAATCTATAAAGAACTTACAAACTCAACAGCCAAAGAACAAATAATCCAATCAAGAAATGGGCAGAAGACATGAACAGACATTTCTGCAAAGAAGACATCCAAATGGCCAACAGACACATGAAAAAGTGTTCAACATCACTCGGCATCAGGGAAATCCAAATCAAAACCTCAATGAGATACCACCTCACACCAGTCAGAATGGCTAAAATTAACAAGTCAGGAAACGACAGATGTTGGCAAGGATGTGGAGAAAGGGGAACCCTCCTACACTGTTGGTGGGAATGCACGCTGGTGCAGCCACTCTAGAAAACAGTATGGAGGTTCCTCAAAAAGTTGAAAATAGAGCTACCATACGACCCAGCAATTGCACTACTGGGTATTTACCCCAAAGATACAAATGTAGTGATCCGAAGGGTCACATGCACCCCAATGTTTACAGCAGCAATGTCTACAATAGCCAAACTATGGAAAGAGCCTAGATGTCCATCAACAGATGAATGGATAAAGAAGACGCGGTGTGTGTATATATATATACAATGGAATATTATGCAGCCATCAAAAAATGAAATCTTGCCGTTTGCAACTACGTGGATAGAACTAGAGGGTATTATGCTAAATGAAATAAGTCAATCAGAGAAAGACAAGTATCATATGATCTCACTGATGTGAGGAATTTGAGAAACAAGAAAGAATCATAGGGAAAGGGAGGGAAAAATGAAACAAGATGAAACCAGAGAGGGAGACAAACCATAAGAGACTCTTAATCTCAGGAAACAAACTGAGGGTTGCTGAAGTGGAGGGGGGTGGGAAGGATGGATGGCTGGGTAATGGACTTTGGGGAGGGTATGTGCTACGGTGAGCTCTGTGAATTGTGTAAGACTGATGGATGAATCACAGAACCATACCCCTGAAACAAATAATACATTATATGTTAATAAAAAAAATTTTTTTTAAAGGCAAAAGACCTTCTTTTCTTCAATACGTATTACAGAAAACCAATCTAAAATGTACAAGAATGCTTTCTAGCCTTGGTTAGGGTAGTGAGTCTCTGATTTAGTTAAAATGCTTTCCCAGGGGCGCCTGGGTGGCTCAGATGGTTAAGCGTCTGCCTTCAGCTTAGGTCATGATCCCAGGGTCCTGGGATCGAGCCCCGCATCGTGCTCCCTGCTCAGCAGGAAGCCTGCTTTCCCTCCCCCACTCCCCCTGCTTGTGTTCCCTCTCACGCTGTGTCTCTATCAAATGAATAAATAAAATCTTTAAAAAATAATAATAAAATAAAATAAAATGCTTTCCCAGAGGGGACACCTTAATAAAAACTGGCCTAAGACAAAAGTTCAAATATGCAAGGACTAAGTCCTAACCCCAGAAAGCTGTGACAGCCATGAGCCATTGACTATGACTGCACATGTAGTGGGGAAAAAAGTAAAAGTTCTGGGTGAGTGAAAACGGGCAAAATGTATGATGACGCTGTAGGGACTGCGTGGTGTAATGAACAGTTTTCGCTCTCTGCTGATGATCTGGAATCCACACTGTTTCCTGGAGATCATCTACAATTGTACATTCAGTCAAGACTGCTGCGAAACAAGGGAAGATGCTTATTTGTCGGAAAGCTGACTATATCCTTGATCAGTTGCTTGTTTCTAAAAGTCAGTGCGGAAACACCCTAGTTAAATTAAGAGTCCAATTAATCATTCAAAACCTAGCTGCACATTAGAAGCGCTTGAGAAGCTTTTGGTTGTTTTTTTTTTTTTTTTAAGTAAATCAGATCTCTGAGAGTAGCATCTGGCAACTGTGTTTTTAAAACATTCCCCAGGTAATTCGAAACCATAGCCACGTTTAAGAACTGCGAGGCTAAACCAAAACAATAAACATCAACAACCACAAAAACTTAACTCTAACAGCAGTTTTTGAGTGTTTGTGACTCCAGGAATGACTGACTTCTTCATTGAGTGACTGCCATTAGGATTTCCCAAGGACTGAATCATTCTAAACCCTTGTTTTATTACCAAAAAGTATATTCTTTAAAAAATTTTTTTAAGTAGGCTCCACGCCCAGCATGGAGCTCAATGCAGGGCTTGAATTCACGACCGTGAGATCAAGACCTGAGCCAAGATCAAGAATCCGATGCTTAACTGATTGGGTCACCCAGGTGCCCCCACCAAAAAAGTATATTCCTTATCAGAATTACAGAACAGAATGGGAACTGTATTATAACAAGTAATTTTTATAAGAAAGGTGCATTTATTTTAGGGTAGTCCTATTAATATTTCTTTATCAACTTTGTGCATTATACTGAAGGAAAATTTAAAACTGAGGCCTGAATAGTTATTTTTTGAACCTACTGTGTCAAATATTAAAGTATAATTTGAAGGAGTTATAAAGTCACAATAAACACTGATCTAATTATTTAAAAAATCCTAGGTACTTAACTTATTTGAAGAGCGTGTATATGTGTGTGTTGTCAAAGTTTCTGAACACAATTCACAAAACTTTATCAGTAAAAGTTAAATGGCTCTAAGAAGAGCTTTATTCAGAAATGTAAAGATAGAATTTATTTATGTGTTGTATGTGATCCCCAGTTCCACTTTTTACTGTAGAGTGAATAACTGGTAAATTTTTCCTTTCTTAGAATTCTTCAATATTATCTCTTGAATAAAATTTGCATTAACGTTAACGGGAAAAAAAATAACTACTAGGATGAGATAATACAAGTATTTGCTTTTGGTCAAATTCATTTATCACTCCAAATTCTTATTAAGAGTTAGGAGGAGGGGGGCACCTGGGTGGCTCAGCCGGTTAAGTGTCTGGCTCTTGGTTTCGGCTCAGGTCATGATCTCATGGTCCTGGGATCAAGCCCCAGGGTCGGGGTCAGGGGTCCGCGCTCAGTGGGGAGGTCTGTTTCTCCTTCTGCCCCTCCCCCTGCTCGTGCTCATGTGCTCTCTCTCTCTCAAATAAATAAATAAAATCTTTAAAAAAAAAGAGAGAGAGCAGGAGGTCTTTCAATGGAGTATAAATTCTATCTCATTCCTTACAACTCCTTACTGTACCACCGTGTGAGTTACCTCCCTTGGTCCCTAGAGACATGTGAATTTTCAACTCTGGATCAAGGCCAACCCCCTTACAATAAAAAGGAAAATGAAGCACCAACAGGTTAAGCCACTTGCTCTGTATCACACCTTCATTAGTAGCAAAAGCTAATTCTAATACCTGGTCTCTTGATCCCCAGAACAACATCTTTATAGTGTTTTTTCAACACTTTCCCCAGATATGATCACCCCCTGGAAGTGATGATACTACCCAGGAAACTCTGGTCAAGCAACGTAAGCAGCGGACTCAGTAAAGAACGCTGGGAAACTGCTCTGCTAAGGGGAGCAGGAGAAGGAAAGAGCGAACGAATAAGGGAGGAGGAGAATCAACAGATGGGGTCCTACCAAAGTGTATTCATTCATTAATTCACTTGAGCACCTACTCTGTACAAGGCCGTGTGCACAAGGCCCCAGGGACAAACTAGTAAGCAAGACAGACAAGGTCCCCGCAGTCATGGAATTTACATTCTAATGCAATGTCGATTAGGTAATCTCATCGTTGTATAACTGTGCAAATTAAAATATTTTATCCCCTTGAGGTAGATGAACCATGAGAGACGATGGACTCTGAAAAACAAACTGAGGGTTCTAGAGGGGAAGGGGCTGGGGGGATGGGTTAGCCTGGTGATGGGTATTGAGGAGGGCACGTTCTGCATGGAGCACTGGGTGTTATGCACAAACAATGAATCATGGAACACTACATCTAAAACGAATGATGTAATGTAGGGGGATTAACATAACAATAAAAAATTAAAAAAAAAATATTTTATCCCCTTGAAATATACTTTACCAGATTAACCTATAACTGTATCTTGTTAGCCTCCATTAACTAAAATCTACGAGAAAGGGTGCCTGGGTGGCTCAGTCGTTAAGCGTCTGCCTTCGGCTCAGGTCATGATCCCAGCGTCCTGGGATCAAGTCCCACATTGGGCTCCCTGCTCGGCGGGGAGCCTGCTTCTCCCTCTCCCACTCCCCCTGCTTGTGTTCCCTCTCTCGCTGTGTCTCTCTCTGTCAAATAAATAAATAAAATCTTTAAAAAAAATAAATAAAATAAAATCTACGAGAAAAATGGCTTCATCAACATAAGTAGGTGTATATGGCACTATATAAAGACACATGATAAGGTAAAATACATTAAAGAACTATTTAAAATGCGTAACACTGTTTGATCTCAAATACTTTCAAAGGAAACAACTCTTTTCATAAAGTAAATCTGCAAAGTGATTCTACTACCCACAATGGGTCGCATCACTGCCTTACTTTCTCTTCACCCGATTAAAGGGACTGTCTCTGTACCTTTGTGACAGGACGGAAGAGCA